AGCTAGTTTCTTTAAACCAAAGAGCATATATAGAGTTTTCAAATAATTCATTTTTACCACTTATCTAGTATATCATCAATAGAACCCAAACCTAACCACATATCACTCAAATTCAATATTCTTGAAAAGACACTCTTGCTCATCCAACTTAGTATTTGGTCAGTTTATCTAATATCCACGAATAGAGAAGATTTAAAAATAAAAGCATTTTAAAAACATATGACCAAGGACACTAGTGTAAAAAATGTAAATGTTTTAATCCGGTACAATGAACAAAGGGTCTCCGGGTAGATAAAATATAACGGTGTGAAAGAACTAAAGAGTCAAAGACAAGAAACTAAACATTTATCTATCAACAATACAAATGATATAAATCGAGTGATAGATAAAACAAATCTATTGTAAATATTATGTAATTGTATGTAATTTGATTTTTAGTGTTAATATTTCAGTTTCGGCTGGCTTTCGCCAAGACATCAACGCTGGTAAGCGCTCTCGTCCGCTTATTAGCGGAGCCTGTCCCCTTTCATCATAAATCTGTTAAAGCTGTATTTTTGGAGTTCCATCTTATACACACAAAATAGTAAATGCACAATTTAGACGGTTATAAATAGTATGCAGAATACCGGGTACGACCTCCTCTCACAGCCAAGCGAGTTCCACTAATCGATTCCCCCTAACTGTCTAGAGAAAAAATTTCAGCATCTTTGCTTTCGTACAGGCCGCTATATGTAAATCGCAGCCTTCCACAATGAAGACCTGAAGACTATTTCTTTCAGAGTCATCACCAAGTTTGTGTCCGATGTGGAATCCTCCATGGACCAGGTTGCCGTGCTCAAATGGAGTAGTGTTACATGCACAGATGTAAACGTCATGATCAGCATGCAAGAATGTGCATGAGTGTCCTCTTTTTCCCCCTGTGTGGATGACCATGATAGCAGATATTACTGCACCAATCCAGCATCGTTCAGGTAGGCAAAAATAAAGACAAAGTTCGTTTAGGAAATAAAACATTGAAAACAAAGCTCAACTACACGTTTGTAACTTTGAGAAATATAGCGTTCCAGGACAGCCAAAACATCCATCTTGGACTTAAAACGGGAATTATTCAAAATATGATTTTCATGCTTATTATCACAAACAATTCATATGATAAAAGAGAGGTCTAGGAAAATGTGCAAAAGTATAGCATGTCTTTATTAATTCCTTTGTTGATTCTATTTGAACATATTTTATTATAATATAATTACATAGAAAAAGAAAATACTTATAACACTCCAACTTTTACACATTTATATTGTCACAGTTAAACATGCTATATAAAGGATTCAGAATTTGCAAAAGTAAACAAGGGCATTTTGCATAAATATATAATGCCACAGAATGCTTAATAAATGTTTGAAGAAAAGAGAAGAAGAACATATTTGGCGTCATATAACCCCCCACAATAAGACAATATATCTTGTATGTGGATTTTATCAAATTGTAAAAAAAAAAAATATATTAACACTGAAATATTCATTTCATTATGTTTACTTGACATTTATTAAATTGCATCTATACATTTAAAACATATGTCGTAGCTGGTTTGAAGAACATGTCTTCTGCGTCGCAGATGAATGTTTTTTTCGTTTGCGAAAGCAAGGGGGTATTATTTTCGTCTGTCCGTCAGTCTGTTAATCTGTCGGTCCATATTACAAAAATTCTAAAAAAACTTCAATCTCCATAACTGTTGTTTTTTGACTTTTATTAATTGTGTCATTTGATAAATTTCTTTGCATTTAATTGTAAATGAATTGACATTATTGGTATTTGTGATAACAAACATTGTTGTTTTACTCTGTTGAATTGAACAAAAAGATTGTCGAAATGAGGAAAAAGCTCGACAAGTTGAAATAAATGCATTTTTGCTTCGAATTATTGGAATATAATCTATTCCATAACAAAACACGATGTCGTTTTTTTTAATGGGACTAGCGGGGTATTGTCACAAATTTCATTTGATATCAACAACCTATTTTGAAGATTACTTTGGATTTTTTTTAACCTTTACCATAATACTTTTGAATGGCAAGGGCTGTGTTCAATTCAAATATGTTCTCACACCTATGTGTTTAATTAACCAAACACTTTAACCCTTTGACTTGACCTTGGAGTGCAGTGATGTTTCTAAATAAATGATTTATGAAATATTTAATTATCAAATAATATATCATTACCAGTGATTTTACCAACAAAGACACCGAAAGCGGGGGACCACAATTCCTTGAATTTGATTGTATTACTAATTTTAGAAATTTTAAAATCGTAATCAGTAATGGAGTTCTCTAACAACAGTAGGAATAAACGTAGACTTATAATTTATAATCGACACTTTGGAATATCATAATTGTGAGAATTTCTTGTACTAGATACATGTGTTACAGCGCATATTTGGAAGGATGTCCATAAATACAAATTTTTTTAACACTTAAGGAGTTACCGAATCGGGACGCGCTTGTCCTTGAATATTGGAAGACTATCCGACCGACTAGAAATAAGGTCTGTATCTTCATTTCTACCCTAGTTGCTTTGCTACAATCACACGCATCTAACGCGTGGATTTTAATTTCATTTTGTAATAAATAGAAGAATGTATACTGCAACCTATGAAGGTGGCTTTGTCAAATCCCTTTTCAACCGAATTATCACATTTTTAAAAAAAATTTAACAGACACCTGACAGATTTTAATAATTTTCACAAAAAACATTAACCAAATGATAAATAAAGAACCATTATACACACCCCTGCTAAGTAGGCTATAGCAATCTTTTATTTTTCGGTGTTCAGCAAATAATAAAACCTGATGAGTTCAGGGAGCTCTGGCAGTGGCTCTTGCGAGAATTAGCGAGACTTCAGATAATTCTCAAGTATTTATTCACGGAAATGTGAATAGGAATTTTTGACTAATCACAAAAAATGGAGGCAAAATTTTCCATCATCAATAGCTTTAACAATCTTATCATATGCGTTTCAGTTTTACACCACCCTAGAATCAGCTGATAATATATATGTTAAACAAAACTCTAAATGTACACAATCAATCGATCTCTTAGTTAGACATCACAGAAGGATCCTCTTCTTTAAAAAGAGGAAGTACATTTGCTAACACTGGTCTGTAGTTAGATACAATTCTCTACAGTCATATATTAAAATTTCTAATTTCCATGAAAAGGGAAAAATACATTCATTTAGAAATCTTTTAAACAATAAACAAAGAGGTTTAGCAATAGTGAACTTTGCTGATCAACATCTTATGACAAATTATCATGCACCAGCTTTATTTGTAACTGACCAATCAGCTGTAATACATACACCACTATTTCAATGTTACATGCATGATATGCCTCAGGTAATTCTTACACACTTACACATGATACAGGAATTGAATTTTCTCTTCGTTGAATAAGCAATCTGGAACTATGAGTTGTATTGTAATGTTGGAAAAGCATTTTTAAAAAATATCATTTTTTCATGTTTATTTCAAGTTGTTTTTGCTAGCATCCGTAAGGTGTAATTCTAGATTATTGGCTTATTCCTAGGTTTTGAAATTTTTCCATACAGATTCTTTTTTATTTTTATTTAGTATGGCGTGTCTGTATTGTATTAATTCCTTTTTTTTTGCTTTTTTTGGGCTTTTAACTATCGGTAATTACAATTGCAGAATCAAATTATGGTTTATCTTTGGGCCGTAACAACGTTCTGGTATACTTTGTCAACTATATTCGTAAATGTCAAAGAAGTTTTCAGTCCATTTAAATACAAATAAGATTCACCCAATCAGTATTTTCATTGAGTGAATTTAATTTGTCCATGTCTCTTTTTATATACCCACACTTTGCCTTGAAGTGATTCGGTTTAGATTAACAGTGGATTTAACTGTATGTCACTTTGTGATTAAACATTTTTATTTATCATTTAACAACAAATTAATAAGTGTGTTCGACGAGCCCGTGATACGAGTGGCTTCATGGATAGTGTTTCTTATCTTTTTGTATTTGTGTTTGTTAAACAAATCATTTAGATCTTCTTATTTTGGAAGTATCATTAACATGATTATACAAAAGTAAATGCTACCTGAACTTCGTGCACAGAGAAATTACAGGTGGGTACACACACTGTATTTTGCATAAACGTTGGTCATCACGTCTAATGCAGCTGTAATGGAAAGATTCTGATATATAAACAATAATTCCTCCTCCATTCGAATTCATATCTTTTCAATAGCCATATTCAAGTTCGCTATCACAACTAGGTTTGTTTCAGTGTAGATGATAATGTACATTTTTTTTCCGGTTTCTAATACTCCTAATGTTAAGCCAAAAATATCTAAGCTATGAATGGAAGCACCAAAAGTATGATGTATTAATAGAAAATATTTTAACATCCCATGGATAGAGCTTTTCATAGTCTGGTTTGTTATACATTTAGACTTGCGTAGATAATAATTATACAATTGTAATAGTCTACTTCAGAATCAGGTATACAGTGAACATAACATTGATTTGACAATGACATGTTTTTGAATAATAAACAGGCTTACAGCTCGATATTGTGACACTGTTTTACTGCCATTGGCTAAAAATTCTGAAGAAAGGATATTTATAAAATCCCCAAATTTCTATCCTATAACCTTTGAATAGATCAACCGAAACCACGTGTCTTGAATCACAATAACATTAGTAGGGGTGATACAGTGATCTGGAGTTTTTTCCTGAAATGTTAAGAAGAGAGCAGTGTGTGTGTAAACATGAAAGTGTAAACTTGAGAGTGTCGAAGGGGTACGTTATAAAATGATTTAATTTAGGAGTTAAATATATTGTTTAATATAATACAGCTAGAGCAATACAACTGCATGAATTTTACCTGTGCTATAATTCCCTAAATATGGGACCAGTGCTTTTTTCATATTGGTTAAACTTGGCATATGGAAAAAAAATTATCTTTTAAAAATACTTACAACGTTCACTGATCCTGTCATGAATCCCCCAGTCAGACACGGTACAGTGTGTGATGATGTCCAGCTGTAGTTTGTCTATGAAGAGGTCGTACATCTTCTCTGGATAGTTCGGTACATACATACATCTCTCTCCCTTACTCCTCTTATAACCCCAGGACCGGCAGTATTCCGAGATCACGTCACGTGACGCCGTGGTCAGGAAAAACTCCAGATCACTGTCCTCCACCAGACACTCCGTGACGAAAGCATACATGACGTCATGTCGGATGCCGTCTGACACAAATGTTACCTCATTATTCTGGGTTTCAGTGACCTCGTGCTTGAGCTGTTTTACATCAATATCATTAGACGGAGAGAGGTTTTCGAAATACCGTTCACGCATCTTTCTCAACATTGACTTGATTTGACTTGAATCTCCATTTACAACAGAAGTGTACTTGTCACACAACAGTAAACTGTAGAGAAAACTTCTGTGGTCTTCAGAATAATTATGATATTTGCCTGAAATGAAACAAATATAATAACAATAAATTTCATGGAGTTTTCAAAGCTATCATTACTTTACAAATCCAAATGAACGACGTTTTTAATTTATTTTTAAAACAAAAAAGATTTTTTTATGTACTATGAAATTAATAAACACAGCATTTCCAAGACTGGCGATATAAATTATACAGTTCATAAAAAAATAATATAATACACTGCACACTTTTATACAATTGTAATGTTTTTATGTAATATGTACATAGTCATTTTGTACAAATTTGAAGCATCTATAATTGTACAGTTGCGTTGAATTACGTCAGTTTGGAAATATATACATGCATGATTGTAGACGAAATCCAGATTCTTGTCGTACAACTTGCATTCATATCAATTTAAATCAATTTTTTTAATCGAAGAAGTAAAAAAATATCAACTGTATTTTTTTCTTATTAATTAACAATACTTATTAATTATGCATACAATTAGTTAATGGACATATGAGTGCTTTTTTTCAAAACTATTGTAGCGGACACATTTGCAAAATGCACGCAAAAAATGCGTCATGAAAAAAAATTCTCTTTAATTCTGTAAATTGAAAAAAAAACGCCTGCAAAAATTGTCAATGGTATCTTAAGAGTTTACGTAATTTGCCCACCACATAGATTACCAGTAGCAGTTTGAGTCTTATATTAAGCTCAAAAGTTAAGAACGTGAATTTACGCAACCAAGGGGGTGTTTTTGCATGAAAACCAATCGTGGCCTTTTTCATGTTTTTGAAGATTTTCGCCTTTTTTAACAGTGTAAAATTATGATCTTTTTAAAAAAAATTATCCTATTCATGCCCCTCAGAAATAAATTTAAAGTTTATATGTTCATTGAGTGCAACTTAGCATGTATTCATACCATATGACTTAAAAATCATGCGCCTTCTGTCCTACTTAAGAATTTCAAAGAAAATGTAAAGTAAATTATACAACTCATATTAGAACCTTAATCCCGAGGAGAGGGACTGAAAGAGATCTTTAGTCTTCTGGATTTTTAATATCTAAATTTTCATATAAATCATCAATCTTAAGTTTAGGTAAAAACAAGACAGATAAACAGACAAACTGACAGGACAAAAACAATATACGCCTCGGATCTATCGATCCAGGCGCATAAAAAATTACGAAACTTCTACATACGTGTATCTCTTATTTTCTCTCATCCTACATCAAGGGACATAAAAAAGTATTAACATTACTTGAGGACATTAAAAGATTCGTGTAACTATTTATGACTTTGTTTCTTCAGATTAAATGATATTTTCATCTTTAATTCGTTTATCAAACTAGGATTGACTTTAGATGAACTCATTTCCTCCAAAGAGTTCAACAACGCTTGAATATACACAAACTGAACCTCGATATTTCTAGTTTAATTAAATGATTTTTTCATGACTTTGATGTTCTTGAAAGGAGATAGCCAAAGATTGGTAAAGGTTTTTCATAAGTACAAAAATATCCTACGGATTTGGGAAAAGATAAAACTGTTCAAGGTTGTTGGTAATTTAATGCATGCAAAGGATTTGCTTTCCACATGTACAATATACATCTCAAGTATATTGTTCTGGTGTATATCTGTTTGTCTGTTTATCTTTTTGTATGGCTTTTGTCAAATTCAACCTTAAAACTTTTTGATGATAAAATATTTGGTACTCCAAATCAAAATTTACAATTTTTAAATGACTTCAAAAAGACCTTGTGACAAGGAATACACATGTGAAATATGAATGTCATAGCTCTTCTAGACCAAAAATTATGGGCACACCAAAGTTTTTGCGGACAAACAGACAGAGAGACATACAGACAGAATAGCAGAACATACTTACATTTACAAAATGACCAAAATGTTCTACTATGACGGTCTTGCTGAACTTTTGTTTTTAAAGATAGTGTATAAAATATTATTTACTCCTCATGTCCAGAATTGAACACTTGCCCTACACTTCGTTAAACAGCTGTCACATACATCTAACCTTTTCCAGTACGAAGTTCAAGAGAATTTTTTGCAAAGGTAATGTGAATTTAAAATCAATTAATTTATAGAAATTGATGGAACAACCAGTTCACCTGTTGTATCGAGGAGCTGTAAACTGTTATATATTCTTTAAATATTTTATATATTTAACACACATTTTACAAAGCATTTTTAAGTGAATGGGGAATCAAAATTGTTAATTACACATCTCCTATCGTGGATTATGACAATTAAAATACTTAATAGAATGGGGTCATGAAAAAATCTTCTTTTCCTGTTTGGCAAAGATTTGAAAAAACTTATACATTCTGCATGGATCATAGAAGGTACAGTGTAGTAGAATGATTTTTAAATTAATATCATAAATTTAATTCTATATTTATTATTTTCTTCAAGAACGATATATAAACGATTTATTCAATGATGAATTTCAAATAAATTTTCAAAAACTAAATATTTCATACATTGAAATTTAATAATTTAGAAAAATCCAAATATTTCAAATTTCCAATACTTGGGAATTTTAATATTTTAAATTTTTTTTTCAAATAATGTAAAAACTGTCTACTCAATTTCAAAACTAAAATTTCCATGAAAAAATAAAGTTCGTAAATTTTTCGCTTTTGATTATTTGAAAATAGTTAAACTGCTAAAATCATTTATTTAAATTTTGAAATTTGGAATTTTCGAATCATCAATTTTTATCACTTGACAATTTGAATTTTTAGTTTTACTAAATGTAACTAACCAGAAAATTAAAAATGATTTTGAATAAGTCTCATATATTCTATAAAATTATAATAATTACTTTGACATATTTTAAGGTAAGCCGATTTTCACGAGCGCCTACCGTAAAAAACCTACGTTTTTAAGATTAAATAATAAATCTTTATTCAAATTATTGCTTCATTATTAAGGAAAAATATCTGGGCCTATAAAGTAATTCGCTAGTGAAAAAAACCGCTTAATTTAAGACTTAAAAAATCAATGTAAAGGTGGCGGAATTTAAAAGTTGACTTTTTTTAAATCGAAATTCCTACAAAAAGGTAAAGCGTGAAAGTTGGAACGAAAAGGTCAATATTCAGACAACAGAAAGGTCACTGAAAGATTGTTAAATGTAAAGGTCACTGAAAGTAAACTGTAGATTAAAAATCAAAGTTTAAAATACACAATTTGTTATTGGAATTTGAATTTTGAATATTTAAGGTAAAAATCTAAAAATTCAAAATGTTAAATCTGGAAAATTTGAAAATTTAGGTTTTTGAATTAAAATATTAAATTCAGTGGCTGAATGGCTTGAGTTTTTGAAATTAAAAAAATTAAACTATTATTTCACTTTTAACTGAAAGGTTTTGTTTCTTCCTGTGTTAACCTTGGAAGTGGAATCATCTTGGAGTAGTGTAGATTCTGAATTGTTTAAATAATAATCAGCTAGGATTGTCAAGGTCAAGAAAGGTTTTACAAAGCAGGAAATCTGGTAAATGGCAGAGTGGCCTAAGAGCGATGTGCCCATGGACCTTTTGTAGAAAAAAATTTCTTAATATAGTGATATACTTTATCATTTTTTGTTTTGCAGTTGAACTCTTTGTATTGAACAATCGGTTATTTTTTAAATTTTTCGTGAAAAGGGTTAAATGTGTCTAAGAAAAAAAGATGTGTTTGTAAAACACAGACGTTTGGCAACATAGCAAAACCAGCTAAATGCAACTTTAATTAATTGGTACCAAAAGTAGGTAACTATGAAAACAATTGTGAAATTTGATTGTAAGGTAATGTTAAATTTTTTATATTACAAAAATCTTTGTTCAAGGTCAAAAGGTCATTTTAGTATTAAATGAAAGGTCTTGCCACATAAATACTTTTCAAAGCATGAAAGCCCTGATAAACCTTAATGTTCCCTTCAATTTCTTAGTGAATAGAAGGTTTATTTTTCAAATGAAAGGACTTGTCATAATGATTACATATTCCCATTTAAAGCCTGTCCCTAACCTTTAAAAGTTATGGTCGTTTGGTAGGAAATGGACATTAGTCGTTCCTCTCAAAATGTTTCACAAGGATTATATGTATGAAGTACGAAAACTTCCTACCTAAAAGTGGCGAAGGTGCAAATTTTTGTCACAAGAAAGGCACTCAAGGCCATTGAGTAGGGAGGGATCGATTTTGTTATCCAGCACCTTCTAACAAGCATTTGACCTCGCTTTATAAGGTCTTATCCAAAAGATATGATCTTTTAAAATTTTCATGTAAAAGTGGATTCCCCAAGGTCAAGGTCAAAAGGATCAACTTCATACGCTGCGAGGTCTTATACATATACACATATGAAATATGCTCTTACCACTGCACCACACGAGCGACCATCACATTGGTATGACAGGCACCTATTGAATAGATGGTGTAACCCCCCCCCTCCAAGGGTCTGAAATGTTTTCCGCTTTTGTTAGTATTTACAGATTGGTCCTATAAGTGTATAAATTAGTATTGAGGTATTTAAGTGTGAGTGTTGGTAACTTGAGCATTTGATACAGATGAGCTAAATCAAGATTTAATAATGTCATTAATTTTAATGACTTTTTCAAACCGCACTTATTGTATAATAATATACAATGAAAAATACCAACATGAAGGTAAATATTATTTGATATTTTTATATCAATTTATGAGAAATGATATCATTATTCAAGCAAGCAATGAGTCAATGAATCTAAGTAATAAGTCAACTTTAAATGAAATTGTCAATTTCATACAAAACATGCATTTACGTAATTAACAGTTTTATGTATTTATCACTTCAGCATAATATATACATTTTAAAAGGCGAATTAATTTAAATTCATAAATAAATTCTAGGAATTGTTGAACTCTTGTAGCAGTTTTATATAATCTAATCAATGCATGGAACTTAAAAAGATTTTAAAAATAGGGTAAATGAACCTGCTACGTATTTTATAGAAAGAGCGTGTTACCGGTCGGTTGGTTTTTTTTTTGTCCCCTTTTTAATGTTTATGAAGATTTTATCGTTATAATTTTTGTTTGGTTTTCCAAAGTTAAAGTTTTTTCGATGATGTAGATATCCCAGTGTGGATGTAGAAGTATCAGGATCTCATCAATGTCAGGTCTCCCGTGTCTCCAGAGCCATGTCACGTGATCTACACTGTTGGCAGTGATCCTTAAAATTTTTGTGTAAAAGTGGTTGAAACTCCCCAAAATTCTCTTTGTGGTCTATTAAAAATCGTTTTCTTTTGTCTTTGAAATATGAATTCTTTTGTATTATGGGCAAGGTTAAAGTTTTTGCACAAACAGACGAGAGACAGTAAATGAATATAATGTATCATGACAAGTACAAAATTATACCTGCGAGTGAAAATTATCAGAAACAAGATCGAATTTAAACCCGCTTTATATATTAGAATTACATGTATGTAATTAACAAATCTATACCTAGGTATACGCCTCTCAAATCAATATTTACAAAAGTCTCTCCCTTTCAAAAGAAAACAATAATCTCTGTATATCTGTATATTTTATATCTATCACTCTTTTGAATTGATCACTTCAGTCAGTTAAAAAATTAATTTCCAATTGAAAATGATTATCACATTTCTTTCAAAAGACTTACATCCCTGGTGTATCTCATCATATATACTCGTGTATTCCATGGTGACGTGAGTTTCAAATAATGTTCAAAAACTGTATCCTGACGGAAATATGTATCAGTAAGTCATCACAACCAAGGCTTAAATGACAAACTTCTCTCCAGGTTTTCTGTTGTATTTCCATGATCTCAGGTACACACTGAATGCTGTGTTATAACTACTTTTGTAACAGAATTTTATCATTGAAGAATTTTTGTCTTCTAAATGTAAGCTATCCTATATATTTTGAATCATCCTTTATTCCTAAAATTATCTTGTCCTGATCTTCCCAAAGGTAATCACGTTTTCACGTAAGTAAAAAACAATTAAGAGTTTGCTGTGCTTATTGCTCACGTGTTACAGGAAAAATATCTGATTATAAAGTAATTCGCTAACTGAAAAAAATCGTATTTAGATTAAATATCATGTCCAGCCACTCTGTGTCAGTGAAGTCACTGAAAGACAACAGAAAGGTCACTGAAAGACGACAGAAAGGTCAGAATAACACCAACACCTCGTCATCAGTCAGTGTGGTGAACTGATCTAAAACAAATGTGATGAGGCATAATATTTATGTGCCATTCAGTGGCTTTATTTATGATAAAGTTAATCGTAAAATTTGACTTTTATATGTCTTTTGTTAAATTCTTCTGTTATTTTTTTGTGTGTATATAATGGTATTGTTTGTACAATATGAATGGCAGAGTGGCCTATATGATTAATATCAATATAATTATAAGATATCAGTATGATCAACTTCTTCAACTTCATCATGCAGAGAGCTACAAGTATATCGAAAGAATGCGGTATTAACCAGACAATCAGTCCTCATGTAATATCTATGAACAGATGCATGCCTTTTTATTTTATATATTAAATTATAATACTTTGTTCAACTGTATTTTTATTTGAAAAAGCCAAGGTCATTTTATTTAACACCCTAATGTGAAGGTCTGGTTTTAAGGAACAACCCCATTTAACCCCCACCCACCCCAGTCATGTGGTATATATATGCATGTATTATGTATACTGTCAAAATGTTTTATATTCCAAAACTTGCTAAAGAGTGGTAATTAAACCTAGATTTTAGAGTTTTTATGTAATTAATAAACTATACCGTAAAGTCAAAACTAGAAGACATTAACACTTAACGTTCCAATTTTTTTTCAACTTAACGCATGTAAAAGAAAAGTTTGATCATATACAGATGGAAAATTATTAACTCATGCTGAATAGATGTTAGTCCCCTACCGGTGAAACCGGGGCGTTAGTATTTAGATTGGTCCTATAAGTGTATAAATTAGTATTGAGGTATTTAAGTGTGAGTGTTGGTAACTTGAGCATTTGATACAGATGAGCTAAATCAAGATTTAATAATGTCATTAATTTTAATGTTTTTCCGCACTTTTTATAATTATACAACGTTTGCACATATGAGCTGAATTTATGGTATATGAGTATATCTTTATTGGTTATTTATCAAGTTTTAATTTTCCTTTGCTTCATTGAATTTTAAAGAAATTGTCATTTTGAATATTTTTCATAATCAGTTTTATGTATTTATCACTTCAGCATAATATATACATTTTAAAAGGCGAATTAATTTAAATTCATAAATAAATTGGAGGAATTGTTAAATTTGTAGCTCTTATATAATCTAATCATTAACTTTTAAAGATTTTAAAAATAGTAAATGAACCTGCTACGTATTTAAAATCTTGTTACCGGTCGGTTGGTTTTTTTTTTGTCCCCTTTTTAATGTTTATGAAGATTTTATCGTTATAATTTCCTTACTTGGTTTTCTATAAGCTTTGTTGTCGATGATGTAGATATCCCAGTGTGGATGTAGACCTATACAGGATCTCACGATGTCAGGTCTCCCGTGTCTCCAGAGCCACGTCACGTGATCTACACTGTTCAGTGATCTTCCTATGTAATGGACAGACTCCCCTTCTCTTCTGAGGTCTATTAAAAATCGTTTTCTTTTGTCTTTGTTGTTCTTTTGTATTTGGATTGAAACATTCACTGGCGAAGTAAATGAATATAATGTATCATGAAAGTACAATATATATATTTGCGAGTGTTTAAAACAAGATATTTAAACAATATATTAGAATTACATGTATGTAATTAACAAATCTATACCTAGGTATACGCCTCTCAAATCAATATTTACAAAAGTCTCTCCCTTTCAAAAGAAAACAATAATTTCTGTATATCTGTATATTTTATATCTATCACTCTTTTGACTTGATAACTTCAGTCAGTTAAAAAATTATTTTCTATTTGAAAACGATTATCACATTTCTTTCAAAAGACTTACATCCCTGGTGTATCTCATCATATATACTCGTGTCCTCCATGGTGACGTGAGTCAGTATGTTCACCTGTAGACGGCGTATCAGTAAGTCATCACAACCAAGGCTAATGACACACTTCTCTCCAGGTTTTCTGTTGTATCTCCGTGATCTCAGGTACACACTGGCTGTGTTATAACTACTGTAACAGAATGGTATATCAATGTCTTTTGAAGCTATCCTATATATTGTCTCATCCTTTATGTCCTCCGTTATCTTGTCCTGATCTTCCCAAAGGTAATCACGTGACGTAAGTCTGTCCAGAGTTTGCTGTGCTTCCTCACGTGTTACAGGATTATAGTTACCGTACACTAACTGTCGTATCTGATTAAGCATGTCCAGCCACTCTGTGTCAGTGAAGTCAGGAGGGCCGGAGTCGGAACACAGAAAACAGAATAACACCAACACCTCGTCATCAGTCAGTGTGGTGAACTGATCTAAAACATGTGATGCGATAATATTTATCATCGTTCTTTATTTATGATAAAAAAATAATCGTAAAATTTGATTTATATGTCTTTTTTCAAATTCTTCTGTTATTTTTTTGTGTGTATATAATGGTATTGTTTGTACAATATGAATCGTATATGATTAATATCAATATAATTATAAGATATCAGTATGATCAACTTCTTCAACTTCATCATGCAGAGAGCTACAAGTATATCGAAAGAATGCGGTATTAGACGACAATCTCCTCAGTATATATATGCATGCCTTTTCATGAGACTTTTTAAAAAGGGACCCGTTTAGAAAAAGCCAAGGTCATTTTATTTAACACTAATGTGAAGGTCTGGTTATAAGGAACAACCCCTAACCCCCACCCACCCCAGTCATGGGTATATATATGCATGTATATGTATACTGTAAGTTGTTTTATATTCCAAAGCTAAAGAGTGGTAATTAAACCTAGATTTTAGAGTTTTTATGTAATTAATAAACTATACCGTAAAGTCAAAACTAGAAGACATTAACACTTAACGTAATTTTTTTTCAATGCTTAACGCATGTAAAAGAAAAGTTTGATCTATATAAGATGGAAAATTATTAACTCATGCTTGTTAGTCCCCTACCGGTGAAACCGGGGCGACTATAGATTTCCTCTGCGTCCGTCCGTCCGTCTGTCTGTCTGCCTGTCCGTCTGTCTGTCAGTCTGTCCCACTTGGTTTTCCGCACTTTTTTTCTAAACGTTTGCACATATTGAGCTGAATTTTGGTATATGAGTGTATCTTTATTGGTTATTTATCAAGTTTTAATTTTCCTTTGCTTCATTGAATTTTAACAGAATTGTGGCATTTTGAATATTTTTCATAATCGTTTAATTAAGATCGGGTTCGAACTGCGCTAAGTTCCGATGGTCGACATAAATATGAAGCGAGGAAAATACATTGGAGAAATGAGTTAAATTTTCCTCTTTATGTGAATTATTTTATTAGTTTTAAGGTATTTACAAATTTAAAATCTTGCAGTTTCACCTCGGACATGACTTTTGTATGATATAAAATGACATTTTAAAGAAAAAGCGGAATGCGGTAGGGGACATGTATTGCTTATGCAATACTCACAGAATGCTTATTTCAAGTGACCATTACAAAGAATTTTAAAATGTATGTTTTCATCGTACACCAATACTTACCTGATATCTTCGTCCTCCACACTTTGCAATCACCTAACCATACTTCTGGAGAGAAAAAATGAAAATTTGGAATATTCTATATATATATTTCAGTGTTTAAATCATTTATTGAAACATTTACTTATCTAGATACGACGGCCTTATTTCCTAAAAGCCATCTTCCTTTTAATATATGTTCAACCTTAAATAAGATGCTTACTTAACAGACCACCACACCGGTGTTGTAAAACTTTTCCCTTAAATCCATATTCCCATGGAAACCTGACCTTACAAAGTAAAACCTTTCGAAAATACTGTATGGTTAGTAAGGCCCCAAAAAAATCTAAATTTTGGTGGATTTCGTCAATATCTCCCTTTCCTGGTGAGTTAACAGCGGATCGTTTGTAAAAATATGTTCTATATAAATCACGCAGTCCACCGAAAAAAAAAAAACTAGGCAATGGGTGGCACATTGCCTGTCATGGATTTTAATTATTTTTGCATGTAGAGACTTATTAAAGCAAGTTTTTACCCATGACAACATAAAACTGTTTTGAGCTCTCTTGTCCTACTTTTGAAAAATGCATTTTGCATTTCAAAAAGGCCATTTGGGGTGAAAAAACTAATCTAGTTTTTTTTTCTACATGAGGATTTTCCATTAAATATATCAATTATGGCTTGGCTATATCTGTGAGGATTTTTTTTTTAATATTTCTATGTAAAACTTTGGTTGGCCATTGAGGCCCCGCCCTACCGCAGAGTCATGATTTGAAAAAGAATCTACAGATTGAGGATGCTTCCATAGAGATATGATCAATTATGGAGAGAGAGAGAAGATTTTTAAAGAATTTTTCTATATATTTTTATGTAACACTGGGTACAGTAGCCCTACCCCCGAAGGTCATGGGCTCAAACTTAAAAACTACCTGGATATTCCAAGAAATCATGATAAATTATGGCTAGGCTATTTTCAAGAGGATTAAAGAATTTCATATATTTCTATGTAAAACTTTGTGAAATTATGTCCCAGCCCTACCTAAAAAAAAAATCTCACTTCCTGTATTTTCACATTTAAAAATGATCAATTATGGCTTGGTGTTTTCAGAGAAATAAAAATTTTTCTATATATTTCTAATTTTAGATTGAGCCAAATACCCCCGGGGGTTTGAATAAACTACTACATACCTGACATTTCCATATAAATATGTTCAATTGGTTCCTTCTTCATGAGAAGAAGACAAAGAATTTTTCTATATATTTTATGAGATTGTGTCCCAGCCCTACCCCCGTTTGTTACTGAGATTTTTAAATAATCAAAATTATGTAAAACTTTATAATTCTTGAATGTATTGAATATTTTATAATTTCTATGAAAACTTTGGCATTGTCCCTTACGAATTTACAGTCTTTTGTTACCTGAGGATGCTATAAATATGATAAATTATGGCTAGGCTATTCGTGAGAAGAAAATTTTTTTTTCTATTTTTTCTATGTTATTGTCCTATCCCAAAGATTATCTCGAGGATGTTTCCTACAAAACATCTTTCCTGGCACAGTGGTTTTTGGAAGAAGATTTTTAAATCATACAAATTTCCATTAATTCCCTATTATCTCATTGAGAGCGTGGCCCTTCAGTTGAACAAACTTGAATCCCCTATAAAGAATGCTTTGTGCATTTTCCTGTTGTAAAAGTCAGAAAACAGACGGAGATAGGGGGAGTTAGAAAAGCTCACTTGAGCCTTCGTCAGGTAATATATTTTAGTCCAAAGTATAATAGTATTTTGAGTATCAGTATAAATTCTCAATGTAACCTAAAATAAAAGATCTCTTCGTACACATTTAATAATGATGACTAGACCGTCTAATTTTCAAGAAAAAGTACAAATTTTTCTAGTCAATATTTGTGGCAAAAATTGCACCATTTTCATTCGAGGTCGTTCTTCCGAACAAAAATTTTTTGTTAATTTTTAAAAAAAAATAATACTAAAATTCTGATAATTCTATACTGGTTTGAAAAGTGCCAAAAATTGCAGTTGATTGAGTGTCGACCTTTGTTAATTTTTCCGTCAAGGTAAAAACAACCTCGAAATTAACTAAAAATTCATGTTTTAAGATTCTATAATGACATTACAGAATAAAGAGTTACCACAGTCTTTTGTTTCCAAGAGCGTGATCATGGCGGCTAATATTTATGGTCGAAAATTTACCTGTTGACATTTGGATATCATAAAATCATGACAAATCATCACCTTGTAAATATCTCTCATACCTAATGGGGTATCTAGCTTTTTAATTGATAGTTATGTCAAGGCCAGAAGATTTTATCCAAGACTTTTAAAATAGCATGAATTATAATGCTATATTTCTTTTAAAAACAATCTTAATCATGGGATAAGTATTACGAAAATATTCAAAACTTGAAAAAGAATCATCTTCATTAATGATATCATTCACTCGTCTAATGTTGCTGTCAAACATGTGTTTATTATAAAAAAAAAAAAAAAAAAAAAAAAAGCCTCCCCCCCCTAGGAAAGCATTGGGTTATAAAACAAATGTGAGTAGTTTGCAATCTCAGACGCTATCTCATAAATTTGTACTGTTATCCAGGATTTGAACACGTCTATCCAAAATTTATTTTTCAACGTTTTCAGAAAAGTTGTGACGTAATCAATTCCACAGTTTTTAAATTTGTCTAAGTTAAAATTTTGGATGATATGTTCCATACCCCAATTTGTAAAAACAAGCTGTTTTATCCAAAATAATTTCATAGAAGATATAACAGACAAGGTTTTATATTTTCAATCCTCAGTCTTCATAATTTTTAACAATAACTATGTTTTAACCCTATGAATTGAAGTATTCCAAAGAGGAATTTTTTTTCTAATTATTTGCAGTATGATTCAATGGGATTTAATATTGACATTAAAATGCGATTTAATAAAGGTAAAACTAATTTTCTGTCATTTTCCCTATTAAAGTTAGGTACCCTTTCTCCCATTGGTTTAGTGTATATATTGGTTTAATTAAATCATCCTTGATGTTTATTCTTTACACGCTAAAGAAACTGATAATACATTATAAGACAATTGTTGGCGCAGTGTAATTTTAATTTTTAAATCTTGTCAGTTAACCAAAGTATATGTACTCTGAGACCTATGAAACAAGTTGTTAAAAAGGGAGGAATTGTCCAATTTATTTGCAAACAATTTGTTTTCCCGAACATTTGCAAAAGTCAAAACTACTGCATATTTCGTTATGATAGAAAGCACATCTTATGAATGAATCTCAATTAAAAAAGGACGATGGTTAATTTTTACATTTTTCATTGTGCAATATGATAATTCAACTTTTCATATGTTCTTTGGTAGTATATTCGGAATACAGATGTACCTAAAATCTCTCTGCGATGCTTTAATTTTTGCCGACGTCTCCAATATAGAAAGGCTGCTATCAGAATCCCAACCAGTACTAGAAGAGGTAGGACGACACCGAGGATTTCTCTTATGTCAACGGATCCATCATCTATAGCAGTCCTAGAGGCATTAGAATACCTGTAAACAGTGATCGTAATAAAGGTCGACAGCAGAGATTTCCATTTTCACACAATTATAGCTATTTTGGCGTCGGTTAATTGAAAAAAAGAGCTAAAAATCAAATAACTAGTTTTAAAAATACATAATTATGCATGTATTTTATTCTTTTGTAGAGGTTACATGTATCAAGGATGATAAATACCAATTCAAACGTCTACAGTAATATGCATTTACATTTTATATAGTCTCTCACTTTAATGAAGTGAATAATTTTGAATTAAACAGCTCAATGCCTTACCAATCCAAATAATGTAAAAAAATATGTTTTTGATACATTACAGGTTGATAAATGTTTGAAAAATTTGAAATTTTCTTGCTGAAAAATTTTAGGGATCATAATATAAACATTGAATTCTTTTCATTTTCACGACAAACGTTTTCAAATTAGATTTCAGTTTTATATAGAAAAAAGTAATTTAACTCAATATATATGTTTAGAGATCGGGTGGTGACATGTATTATAAGTTATAAGAAGAGTGATTAGGAAGTTCGCAAACTCTTTCCATATTCACAAAACCAAATTTCAGATCAAAATGATCAGAAATTGAAAGTCAGTAAGTAGATCAGTTGTGACAAAAAATGGTTGAATCAATCGCTCTTGAGCAACAAATGTAAGGATTAACATGTATCATAAAAATTTCTAAACATCAATTTATTAATTAAATGGATAAATTGCTTTTTGAAGGGGGGGATATTTTTTTAAAAATGATTTTTGTCCCGTTGCCCAGTGAAGGCAAGCTGAAGAAGACATTGGTCCTTTTAAAAACAATTCTGTAAATCAAGTTGATATGAGAGAACGCAAACTTACTGTATGAAAGACAGTTGAATATCATAAAAATGATATTATTATTGAATTTTTAAAATAAAGTTAACTTTAGACTGGCATTTTAAAAGGGGTGACATCCCTACTTTATTCACATTGAATAAACGATGCTACCAAAGAGAGAAGACCCGCTTATGATATTCAATCATACTCATGCTGGAAATGGATATATACTTGTAAGCCCATACTATTTCCGAGACTTGGTAATTTCTCACGGTTATTTGTTATGAAATGAATAATTTGCATTTTAAGTCACAGGACTGCCTAGATCACATGAAAACTGAAATCCTTTATATTTTCTTTTAAGGTGGGTATTTAATTAGATTGAGCATATTCCGGTCACCCTAGTTTAATATCTCTTAATTTAAAAAGGATTCATTTTATTTTTATTAAACAACTTCATCAAATCAAACTGTATTTGTATTTGTATAAAATGAAGCCACTCTAACAAAAATGTACAAAAGTGAACTAAAGTTTCTAAAGTAAACATTAATGAATACTTCGTTACTTCTTTTTACCATGAAACTTGAAGAGGAAATGCTGTGTACATTTGAAGTATACTGTAAACCAACTTTTATTCGCGTGTAAGAAATATCCGCGAGTTCCGCGACCTCCTTCAACTCGCGAATATTATTCGCCGCGAACCATTCATTTTGCTAAGGATTTATACGGGTGAAACAAAATATAGGCGCATTAAGAATACCACATTGTTATACATGATTTTTAGAAATGTTAACTTCTTTACATGTAATTTATCATAATTCATTTAAAGGCATACTTATAAAGGACTTGTGTGCAAAATTTTGTTGATCTAGCTTTAACAGAATTTAAGTAAATGCAATAAATGTACTCCAAAAATGACCTTTTTTAGCGTTATGCGGTTGCGCTTTGAAATTAAACCATTTTTCAATTGAAATTATTGTTATATATCATAAATCTTCATGCCAATGATCATTATCAGACTTTAAATTTATTTTACAAATTATTTTGGTGCTTGAATTTTAAGGATTGAATGACAATTTTTGAAGATATGAAAGAAAATGTAATAGGGGTGCAATGTTATACATTTTTGACATAATTTCACCCCTCTCATATGCCAAATAATATGTCCATATCATTTATTTTCTCAGATTTCTATCTAAAATCACAGTATTAATGCTCTGTTACTTACAGAAAAAATTGGGGTTATTGTAACAATTAAAATGAAATTTCATCATGTTTTAATGTGGAAAATTAAATTTTTACAAAAAACTGTAGTGTCCGTAACCACTCTCAATCTGTGAAATTGGAAAGCTCTATAAATATCTTTACTAATTTCCTAGATAGGCATCTCATATAGATGCTGAGATGTTTCGTAATTTTCCTGATCATCAGCACTGTTTGTCTGTTTTCATTACAAATGTGGTTACGGACACTACAAAACCCTGTAGTGTCCGTAACCTGAATTTGAGGCAGTTTGAAACAGGCGGTGTTAAAACACTATCGCAAATTTGTTCACAAGGGTCAGAAGTTTGTTTAACAAGTTAGTCAATGCACTTTATTTTTCTCCCTCATTTTGATATTGCAACTAATTTGGGAAACCCAGATTGCACCATTTTCATATACAAGATCCTTGGTGTTACATCACCTTGATATTGGCAGATTCTATTGACATTCTAGGATTTAAGTCAAATAGCATGTCATTATTTTTTCATTGTTTAAGTCAACTGGTGTGACATTAAAGAAAATCTATTTGAAATTCCTTTATTTAAGGTATAGTTTTATCCTATTGTAAATAACTTGTAGAGTGTGTAGTGTCCGTAACCAAAAGTTGAAAATTAAATATCCTTATTTTTTCTCCATAGAATTTACAGATAAATTTTTGAAACAGTGTATTATTGAATTTAGAGATAAAAATGTGTTTATTCGTTGGAATTCTTTTAGATCACGTGTTTTTTTTTTTTTTCTTTACTGCAAGTACTAAAATAATGATTGGACACCCAGGATGACATATAAAAATAGTTAGAAATTATTATCACTAGCTACATAACCCCTATTTCTTGTGAATATTGCTTCAATTGTTTAGTTGCTTATTAGGTAAAATCTTAAAATGTGTTAAATGCAAGTAAATTTGCATTCAAAATGTTAAACAGTTGGGAAGTAATTTGGTTAAGGACACTACAAACAATTTCAAAAACAAAAATACTTAACATTACACCAATTTCAGATAAAGTATTATATTTAACTGTTTGAAAAAAAATAGAATGCTTCACAGAAAAGAAAAATAATTGAAGAAATATTAGTGAGCTTTATTCTTCAAGGTTTGAATTTCTACTTGCACATAACACCTGTCAAAAGTTACATGTGTATATTTCTATTCAAAGTATATTGGTTATGGTATGCTTGTAACAGATGAGTTGAGATAAGAAGAATAAAAAAAATCAGGAGAAACTGACACGAGAAATAAAATGCTGAAAAAAGATAGGAAAAGGGCTTAAAAACAAAAACTTTATCCACAAACCTGTGAAAAATTAAAGTATTGTGTAGTGTCCGTAACCCTTAATTTTGGTTAATTGACTTCATTGATCATTGTACCTACATTCTAAATAGTTTTCATAAAACTTTAATGAATAATAGAACTTTTCTTTGCACTTCAGTAATAAATACATGTAGTTATGTGAAAGAAGGAAGTTTCAGGATTTCCTAAAGTGGATTTTTTTTTCTATTGGCTTAGTTTCCCAACTGTTTAACATTTTGAATGCAAATTTACTTGCATACTTGCATTTAACACATTTTAAGATTTTACCTAATAAGCAACTAACCAATTTAAGCAATATTCACAAGAAATAGGGGTTATGTAGCTACTGATAATAATTTCTAACTTTTTTATATGTCAATAAACAGTTTATCATGCATCATGATTTTTTTATATAACTTAAATTGTTTTTACAAAACAATATCTAATTTGTATATACTTTGTATTTAATAATCATTTAAATCTGATTTAAAATAGTTCAGAAGTTTATAAAATGTTTTTTTTACAATGTACCACAAACCAAACGGCTATCATAAATATTTGGGTTTTGTAATGTCCGTAACTTAATGAAGCTATCAAATTATTTTAGAAAATTTATAAAAATAAAATGTCCCATTTTAATGGAAGTATTTATATTTCACCAAACGCGTAAAAAGTGTTGTTTATAAATAGTATTTTCTTTATTTATATTGGTTTTAAAGAGTTCACATGAAATGAAATACTACCATTTTGAACAAAAATGTACGAAGTAAGAACTGTTTAAATTTTAAAGTACAATGCCACCTTTTTTAGTCAAAATTTTGTCCTTATTTTTTATTTATATATGTTCTTTGTTTGTAAGCATTTGAAAAAAATAGAGCATATAAACAGTTTTATATATTTATTTCAAAGAAAACAACACTTGTAGTGTCCGTAACCTGTGAAAATGAGGTTATTATCAGCTTGTAAAAAACAAAGTTCCAATGTGAATTTCACAAAACCGTCTATGCTTGAGATCCTTTAGATACTGTACTTTTTAGAAAAAATATTTTTGGGTCAAAACAAGAACATTAAATTTTTACCCCCAAGTGCAACCTTACTGTCCCCTATATTGTGATTCACCCGATAGAGAATGTCCCTAATCGCGGAAATTAATCTTAGCGGATAGTCTTCAAACTGAAGAATCGCAAATAAAAAATGACGCGAATAATAGTTGGTTTACAGTACATGTAGTTAAAGGGTTTTTATCATGCATCATGATTTTTTTATATAACAAGGTTTATATGCTATTAAAATCATCCATTTTTTGGTTAGAAAATTAATATTTTGCGTGTTTCAGCGATTCAAAGTTTAAATTTCTCAATATGCATATTTTGATCGCCGATGTTGTGCGCCATTGCTCTGACGTCATAGGTGTCAGTCCTGGTCAAGCGAAGTACTTATCGTGTTTACAAAACGACTCAATGGCTTCATCTTAAAACCCTTCTAGAAATTAAATAAATGATAATTGGTTAATTGATAGATAATTAGATATAATTTGTGGCAATTGTATGAAAAATTAGCACAGGAAAGGTTTTAGGAAGTTTTTTTTACCTGCCAGGGACTTGGTCGGTGCATTGATTTGTCTTCATTCAGAGCATTCGTTTATGTACGATCCCACATTCTGTATTATGTAAAATATCTATTTAATGGAAATAGTATTTTTCAAAAAAATATAATTTATCAATAGACATTTTAAAAGTCCGGCACACACATCATGCTCTGTGTGTTGTGAAGATCGTAATGGCGAACGGCGCCATTGAAGATCGAAGTGGCCTTTCTATCAAATGATGTTCATTGCTGGAACAGATAGAAGAAATACAAGATCAGCTTGTGTATATTTTATTAAAAAAACAAAGAAAAAACGTAGAACGACCATTTTTATAATTATTTAAGAAGTTAAACGTAAATAATTCGATCTATTTAATCGAAGTCAGGAGTTTTCATTAACGGTTTCGTCTTCCATGCCCTATGTATAATCCTTTCACGGTATGTTTTTTTGGTTATTTTTCTGTTGTAGAAATTAATATATATAAAATTGAGCATCCATAGCCAAAAGTTATATTGTCAATATCAGAATTTCTTCCAACCTAGTGGTGTATTCTTTTTATTTCATGCAAACATCTATACGGTAGATGTTTTCTTACGATACGCTTTACGAGGTCCAATTGCCCATTGACACCTATGACGTTTCAGTACCACGTGATCCCTATCTAATTAGTGGAGATTTTCAATCTGAAGACCCTACATTACATACGTATTATGACTCAAATACGACAGTTTAAAACATGATTTTATAATCAAACGATAATTATATGTTTCAAAAATATAAGAATGTTTAATTTTTTAAAACATTTCGATGCATGATAAAAACCCTTTTTAAAAAAGGTTAATACTGTGATTTTGTACAAAATATATACTCAAGGAAATCCTGATTTCAATACCAGAAAACAGAAAGTATAACAAATAAATATATCTAGCTGAAATTCATGGTAAAATGGACTTATATTTACTATTATAGTAAATAACTGATTCACTAGTAGTAAACTTAAGTTAAAGATAAGAAATGACAAGGTACCTAAGTCCTCTTTTGGCCCCTGATGTTGTTTTTTTTTAGAATTTAGAATGATGTAACAGTTTATAAATAATAACCTGTTTTTATCCTCACCTCAAAAATGATTATTTGTTCTAATTTTTGTAATACACAGAAGTTATAAAGATGACATAAAATAGGTCAATTTTTGTATTTACTCTCTTTTATGCATATTTTCATCGACTTTACAGCTCATTTTGCTTTGAAAAATATAGAACACAAGCTTGCCGATCTTCAAGATTTTATACACTAGTAACATATGCAGTTTATGTGTATAAATTGCAGATAGGCAAAATTGTGTTTTCTGTTTTTCAAAGAAAAGTATTTCAAATATGACAAAATTCAATTAGAATTCGAGAAAATATCCTACTTATTCTGGTTTCATAACAAGCATCATTTTAAGTAATGAACTTTAAACTATCGAACTTTAACCAGTGTTCTGATTTTTACATCAAATAGGGGCCCGGCATGGCCCTTGCCCTACCTTTTCCTTTTTTTTAAAAAAAAACTTACGAAACACACAAAGAATCAGCAGCAAAACATCGGAACTCCGTGTTAAGACGACTGCAAGCTGGATCTATGCAGAAGAAATTCAATCAAGTTACTATAAAGTAGAACTTCAAGAAATTTGTCGAAGTCGTCCAAAGTTTCCATTTGTCAAATTCAAAATGTCTGTTGAGCAATCTTGTTAAATACTAGATGCCACATCATTTTTTTTATTTTATTGGTTTATGAGTCATTTTCTAAACAATGGTTTCAGCATTGAAAGGCCGATATTAGCTCTTAATTATTTTATATGAATTTTTTTATATTTTTTCAAAGAAAATGAAAAAAATTATTTACATCCTAATAAGATGCTTTCTTGTAAAAATTTTGCTGTAAATGAATGCATCACATGAATACCTAATAAAATATGAAAAGAAAGTCCTGGAAAGTTTTTAATTTTTTTTTTATAATAAATTATTTATGAAAATAAAACACATTATTTGTAAATATTTTTTAAACCTATGGCTAAAAACATCATAAAACTAGTCACAACTAAGGACAACATGTTTGTCAATCATATTTTAAAAAGAAATTGAAACGAAATTGAGAAATTGTAGAGAAATTAATTTTATTAATATTTGGACCTAACCCGATCAAAATTAAACTGACCCCAATCAAAAATAACACAAAATGAATAAAATGCTAATTATTGCCTCTTCAGGGATTTACAATGAATAAATCTATTTTATTGTCAGGTTCTATAATGTTTTAACCCTTATAACACCTAATCAGACTAGTGTTCTTAGGAAAGTGTTATTTATTACAGCTAATTGTACAATTATGGTCCATCTTTTAATTTTTCAGACATTAGCCAAAATTTAAAAAAAATAATTTCTCTAAAATTTGGCTACTTTTTCAATTTCTTTTATAAATATGATTAATGAACATGTCTCCCCAATTATGGCTGGTTTTAAGGAGATTTTAACCACAAGTTTAAAATATATTCACAAATTATATGTTTCATTTTCATAAATATTTTTTTATAAAAAAAATTAAAAGTCTAATCAGACTTACTTTTATTTTATTAGGTATTCATGTGCTTCATTCATTTACAGCAAAAATTTTACAGGGAATCACCTAATTTGGATGTAATTATTTTTTTTTCGTTTTCTTAGAAAAAATACAAAAAAAATCATATAAAATAATTAAGACCTAATGTCGGCTTTTCAATGCTGAAACCATTGTTTAAAAAGGTTGACTCAGAGACCTATAAAATAAAAAGTTGGTGTGGCATTCCTCCTTAAATACTAGTACACTGATGTTAAAATAAAAAAAAAGAATTGGTTTCATAGAACATTTTTACTGGTTTACATCGATAAGGCTGTTTATTTATCTTTAAGTTCGGAAATTAAAGACCATTTGATTAAGATGCAAATATTAATGTTTAGAATTGGGTACAAAAGTAATCCAATCCCCGATTTTTTAAAATAAATTTGCTTCCTGGAAAGTGATTGCCATTAATTGTTATATTGAAAATATAGGTTCATGTATTTTACTCTCCATTGTATAGGTGCCAATGCAATAGTTAAGAGTTCCGAAACCAAAAATTTCGCGATTAACACTTCACAAACAGTGGCAGTAGATTTTTCTTATCTTCCAAATTTCAAATTTTCCACTTTTCAATAAAAAATAGTTTGACAGTATAGTAAAAAAAACAAATGAAATTGATTTTTTTTTTATTTATGTTAAGTGATTGGGCAATTTCTTACATTTATAAAGCTCTGTACTTCTGTATGGTGCAGTTGGGCAACCTTCCGTGAAGGTTTTACAGCTGATCTGGTCCAGAAATCCATCTTTTATTGTCTTCAGACAATACCCTGAGAGAAAAGAACGAGTTTAGATAAAGATTTTATTCCAATGACTAAATATACTCAACGCCAATGGAAACGCAACACCCTAATTTTAGGATTAAAATTAATACAGGTTATAACTATGTACCAAAAAAGTTAGGACATCTTTTACTTCGCCAAATCAGTTATTTAACGGTTGAATGAATTTCTTTCCATTACCGGAAGTTGTTATTTAGCCCTCTTAACAGATTTTATTTTTTTCCATTTTTGATAAAATTTTAACAATATTTTGGTTTTCCAAGGTTTTGAAACTGTTAATCATAAGTATTGTACTAAAGGCCGGGAAAAAAATCCTTTTCTTTACCGGGTGTTCTGCCTATATTTCCTCAAAATGACTAATAGCAAGAAGGGGGGATGATTTATGAGTTATGTGTTACCTTCAAAAGTTTAATGATAACATTAAAAATGAATATATTTAGGTAAAAAGTAATTTTACAAAAATTTAATGCTCCATGTAAACATTAAATGTTATTTTCAGATCTTAGAAAGAAAAAAATACCCGTTAAATCTTAAAACATCCCCCCTTCTGACATTTTAATGAAAACGTACCAGTCCGCCATATACAACAAATGCAGCCCGATTTCAACCATGCATTAAGTTTATTAATGTTTTAATCTAAGCGAAATTAATATTCTTGGGCATTTTTAACTACATATTTCTCATATTTGCGGCCGAATTTTCTCTAATCTGGCGTAGTGTAGCAACATTTTGACTTTCGGTCAAGAAACTGCCATTTATGCTATTGAAACACATGAACCTGATGGACTGTTATATAGTGTATATTTGCATATGCAGCTTTTTTTTTATTTATTTTGAGAATTTCTAGTATTTGCAATGAAAATCAGTCATTTTGAGGAAATATAGGCATCTCATCTGGTAGAGAGAGAAGGATTTTTCCCGGCCTTTTAGTACAATACTTAAGATTAACAGTTTCAAAACCTTGGAAACCCAAAATATTGTTAGAATTTTATTAAAAATGGAAAATTTTGAATTCTGTTAAGAGGGCTAAAAGGCAACTTCCGGTAATGGAAAGAAATTCATTCTACCGTTAAATAACTGATTTGGCAAAGTAAAAGATGTCCTAACATTTTTGGTACATAGTTATAACCTGTATATAATTTTCACCCTAAAATTAGGGTGTTGCGTTTCCATTGGCGGTAAATATATATCTCTGATTAGAACGGTAAACAACCTATTCCACATTGTACACATATGAATTTTGATGAGACCGTATAAACCGAGGCCCCTTGTCGCAGTAGTTTCTGGAACAAAAAAGATCCCTCACTGCTCAAAGGCCCTGAGTGCCGAGTAAAGGACAAAATTTGTAGCCCTCCACCGGCAAGTGGTGGCGTCTCCATATGAGTGAAAAATTCTCGAGAGGGACGTTAAACAACATACAATCAATCAATCATATCATGAATTTTTTGTTAAATTTCAATCTCAAATTACTATGCTCAATGACCTACTTTTCATGCTAGTGGCCCCTTAGTACATGTACATGTACATGTTTTACCTCACTTTTTACACGAAAACCATTTTTTATTTACTCACAAAATATAAAATCAACACAATTCTTTGAATAATTGAATATTATAGCAAAAGAATAACGTTGCATTTATATAAAGAAGCGATTAGAGTTTGAGCCTTAGACGTAATCATTATTATAGTTAGAATTTCGTGTAATATTTGCAAAATGATGTTAAAAAATGCATATAACCTTTACATTGTAATTAATATAACAACTTTTGTAATTAAATGAAAAGCATAAAATATAGTCCAAATTTCCTCTTCATTACCATTTATTAACTTTTGATCTTGTTTATTTATGTTCAAATAATAAAATATTTCATTTTGAAATTGATATTGAGTTTAAACTAATTTATTTTATCCATTTAGAACTTATTTTGGTTTCACATATTATCTTTTATAAAAATTTCCTTTACTGTTTTCAGAAACCAGAGTAAACGTCATCCTTAATTGAGTTTAATTAATACAAAAGTTATCACTCTAAAAATACCTCATCATACATGATTAATTTATATCAGACTTTGAATTTTCTGTTTATATTTAGTGGTAAAGGAGAGAGAGAGAGAGAGAGAGGAGAAGTTTCCACAAAATTATTAAATTAATGTTTTTACCAGCCTGATAGAAACAATAGACTTTGTATAACAGAATTCTACAACAGCTGTCAGGTTTTCATTGGGAACACAGACATACTGACTACGTCCAAACACGTCATTAATACAGTTCAGTTTGGAAGCTGCCTCTGTTGTATTTGCTTTACTAAGGGGACAGGAATCCACAATATATCCAAATCCTTTGTAGGACATAATGACTTCTGCAATTAAAAATATTACATGAAATTAGCATTGGGTCATTTTGCAATATGTTAGGCCACAAGCTGTTTGTGTTTCACACAAAAATAGTGAGGCCCCCGATTGTACAAGAATCCCTTGTTATTTATTGAATTTAAAATACTTGCTCACCCTAAAAATATTAATTCATTTGTAGATAGAAAAATGACAGAAAAACATGTATTATTTCACCTAAATAAGCAGAGCGCAGACCCGAATAAGTGACAATGTATATGTTTTTGCATCCACTAAGAATACAAATTAACAGAATATATTTCGTGCAGTGAAATTAAAGACGTTTTAACATTAACAAAAAAGTATATTTTAAAGTGGAGTACATTTATCAATAAAATGAAATGAACTTTTGGTAAGTTTGAAATGCATTTCAAATCAGGGTTTTGAATCCAAATCTTTCTCGGTCGTCCGCTTCGAATAGACCAATCCACACTTTTCATAAGTTATGTCCCTGGGCCGCCATCTTAGGGGATAAGCCCTTTGTAGTTTTCAGTTTTGTAACTTCGTCATTTGACTTTAAAAAGCTCTACCTTTTGTGTGTACTGATTGCCCCAAGATGGGGCTACCCACACATTGAAAGGAAAAAATAATTACAGCACGCCCATATATTTGGTAGCATAAAGAGGACGTTTCTTTCCCTTTTGACCTTTTGGTTGACCCAGCAAAGGGCCACAAACAACTTTTGCAAAGTCTGGATTGGACTATAGGACCCGCCCATTTCATCGTTTATCATTTATTGTTTTGTCTGTAAAAGACGGAAATAACACATGCTGCACATCACCTAATTTGCCAGTTAATGTATGCGGCCTTATTGAATTAATTAAAATGCATTACTTTCTAAGTGATGAAGCAATTATAAAAATTAAGACTGATATGATATTAAACACTCGTTAACACCAAATTATGAAAATGCATTATACTTGCTTGAGCAAATAATTATAATATCGAAAACGAAAGTTGATTTTTTTATAAGATTAAATAAGATGTGTACTTACGTTATTGCTCCAGCATTCTAAAATGATTTCATTTTAGGTCACATAACTTGTCATGTACATTATTGAACAGATATCACATCATGTCCCTAGCACCTTTCAAAGTAAGCTTCCTAACAACACAGCCATGACTGCCAGCGTCGGTACGCTGCCTATGTGCCCTGTATACATTTATAAATAGATTGCATTTAAATACTCGGTCTTGCTCTAATGATAAGGTGCAAGTAAAAGTGGCGGATTTAAATGTTTTTGAAAACAAAAAATATTAAAAGAAGAAAATAATCTTGACGCAAGCGTCGAAGATATGAGGCCACAAAACCTTTTAAGGACCTTTTAAACACTGGATAGAATGTTCTATCGTTAAATTGATAAACTTTCTATCGACCCGGTGGTGAGGGCATACCCCGAGACACAGTAATATTTTTCTAGCTACATGTATTTAATTAAACACAGATGGGGATGAAGACTACAGAGAGCTGAAAAATTGCTTAATTTTTTTAAAATGTTCAAGGAACTCTAGAGTATTTTACTATTCTAAATTTTTGGGGGGTTTGTTTTGTAATTCGGTTATTTGCAACGGCGTATTCATTTCATAGTGACAATGTAGAAAAAATTTGAAAAAAAATGAAAATCGTTTCAGCGATTCAAAAAATCGTTTATACGATTTATTTTTTTTTCTGATTCGGAAGAGAAACGTACTGGATAAGAAATATACAGAGAGGTCCCTTAGTTTCTTACTATAACAGGTACAGAAACACATAATGATAAACTGTATCTTGATAATTAAACTGTGTGAATATATGTTGTAATGTAATCTTTGCTTTAATCTGTTTTTCCCTTTAAAATACTTCCTATGGATATCTTCCTGAGAAAACGGTAAATTCTACCATAATGGCTTTCCAGCACAGCCACCTGTAACAATGCAATTGACCACACAGAATCAAGTCTTTTGTCATGTGAGTTTTGTATTTACTTCCACCTTGGGCCCACTCGATTGGGAACTTCCTTATTCCAGAATAACCATTCTGTCAAATTTTTAAGAATTATTGATTATGACAAGAAAAAAGCGAAACAAATAGTTGTAGCCATATTATCAATGAATCAAACTAACACCATTTTCAATGCATTTATCATCTCGTGAATGCTGTAGCTGTGCAGTTCTACCATATTTAATTTCCTCCTAATTAAAACAAAATAAACTTAATTATTTACTAATTTTGGTCTCTTACAGTAGGTAACTAGTGCATTAGCACCTTGAGTAGCTTTGGACTAGTTTAGACGAGTATTAAGTGCATTCTTGGTATTTCTATTTCACACCAGACTACATCCAATATGGCTTGTACATCCCCCTTAATTAAACTATTTGAATATGTTGTAATGTAATCTTTGTTTTAATCTGCTTTTCCCTTAAAAAATACTTCCTATGGATATCTTCCTGAGAAACGGTAAATACTACCATAATAGCTTTCCAGCACAACCACCTGTAACCATGCAATTGACCAAATGAATCAAGTCTTTTGTCATGTAAATTTTGTATTTACTAACACCTGGTAAATTCAATATTTACAACATGACAGTTTCCTCACTGAAAAGAGCTACATCACCTATTTCGGATTCGTTCTTACGTCTGAACAGTCCCAACTTAGCTGTTGTCCTTTTCGACGCTTTTCTTACAAAGACTCGGTAGATAGTTTGCGAAAGGATCTGTACAATTTAAAAAAACCCATCTTCAATTATTCCTTGATGAATTTCCTCGGCATGTCATTCATTACTTCATTTATTAAAACTATGCGTGGATACATTGTCCTACTTCTGCAAGGTTTTATACTACGCTTCTTCTATATGTACTAACAAGAAATAAAAATTGTACAAACATTTTTTTTTTTAAAATGGTACGAACGTAAAGTACAAGTGACTTTTCAGTTTCTAAACGTTCCATTACTGTAAACATATCTTGAGATTTATTTCCTTTATTTTTCACATCTTAAATTTCAGATTTTAAAAGAAAAGTACGACATTTCAGTTATCTGATTGGGAGGTAAGATTCTTTTAGATAGTTTATAACATCATTTCATTATTAAATTTGAAAAGTAGAGTTTTTTTTTTTACATTTAACAAAATCTGAATACATGTATAATATTTTAAATCAGGAATAAAATATTTTAAAAAATCACGTATTGCACGAGGGAACTGCAAAAAAACAACGGTCTTCTGTATTTAGATTGCTGCAAGCTGGCACTCTGCAGAAAAGTCCGAGATATTTTACATTAATATTGCCAAATTATCTTCCAACACTGCAACTGTGCTATTCACTGCTTGAAGGCAAACTACAGCCTCTGGGAAATTAGTCCATGAGCCAGGCCATGAATTTTTCGGTATCAGTACAATCTCGGGTGAATAATTTTCATATTTAATTTTTGAATGACATATATCTCTACCTGCAGAAAATGTGTGATAGCATTCAATTGATTGTGGCTTTGATGGTGTATCAACTGTTTATATAGACCAACCCAACTTGATTGTTCTCTCTGCCGTGTCTTTTAAAGAAAAAGTTTGGTTTTTCCAATATGCAATTTTTATCTTATTTCGGATGATATTTTCTTGAAAATTCGTTTGAATGCAGACCATGTTATTACCCTGTTCAGTTATTATAAGCTCACTCTGAGCCGAAGGCTCAAGTGAGCTTTTCTGATCAAAATTTGTCCGTTGTCTGTCGTCGTTGTTGTTGTCGTTGTCGTTGTCGTCGTAGACTTTTCACATATTCATCTTCTTCTCAAGAACCACTGGGCAAATTTCCACTAAACTTGGCACAAAGTATCCTTGGGTGAAGGGGATTCGAGTTTGTTCAAATGAAGGGCCACGCCCTTTTTCAAGGGGAGATAATCTTGAATTTGTTAAAAATTAATGGCATTTTAAAAAAATCTTCTTCTCCACAACCGCTGGGTCAGGAGAGATGAAACTCATGTGAAATCATCCTCAGACAGTGTAGATTCAAGTTTGTTCAAATCATGACCCCCGGGGCAAGGGTGGGGCCAAAATGGCAGACCAAACTTTTACATAGGAATATATGGGAAAAATCTTTAAAAATCTCCAGAACCACTAGGCTAGGAAAGATGAAACTCATGTGGAAGCATCCTCAGTAAGTGTAGATTCAAGTTTGTACAAATCATGACTCCCGGGGCAAGGGTGGGGCCAAAATGGCCGACCAAAGATTTACATTGGAATATATAGGGAAAATATTTAAAAATCTTCTTTTCCAGAACTACTGGGTAAAGAAAGATGAAACTCATGTGGAAGCATCCTCAGGTAGTGTAAATTCAAGTTTGTACAAATCATAACCCCCGTGGCAAGGATAGGGCCAAAATGGTCGACCCTAGTTTTACATAGGAATTAATATATAGTAAAAATCTTTCAAAATCTTCTCAGGAACCACTAGGACAGGAAAGATGAAACTCATGTGGAATCATCTTCAGGTAGTGTAGATTCAAGTTTGTTCAAATCATGACCCCTGGGGCAAGGGTGGGGCCAAAATGGCTGACCCAAGTTTTTCATAGGAATATATTAGAAAAATCTTTAAAAATTTTCTCCTCCAGAACCACTGGGCCAGGAAAGATGAAACTCATGTGGAAGCATCCTCAGGTAGTGTAGATTCAAATTTGTTCAAATCATGACCCCGGGGCAAAGATGGGGCCAAAATGGCCTGCACCCCAGTTTTACATTGGAATATATAAGAAAAATCTTTATTTTTTTCTCAAGAACCAATGGGCTAGGAAAGATGAAACTCATGTGGAAGCATCCTCCGGTAGTGTAGATTCAAATTTGTTCAAATCATGACCCCCAGGGCAAGGGTGGGGCCAAAATGGCCGACCCAAGTTTAACAGAGGAATATATAGGAAAAATCTTTAAAAATCTTCTTCTCCAGAACCATTGGGCTAGGAAAGATGAAACTCATATGGAAGCATCCTCAGGTAGTATAGATTTAAGTTTATACAAATCATGACCCCCGTGGCAACGGTAGAGCCAAAATGACCGACCTAAGTTTTACACAGGAATATATTGGAAAAATCTTTCAAAATCTTCTTCCCAGGAACCACTAGGACAGGAAAGATGAAATTCATGTGGAAGCATCCTCAGGTAGTGTAGATTCAAGTTTGTTCAAATCATGACCCCTTGGGGAAGGGTTGGGCCAAAATGGCTGACCCAAGTTTTTAATAGGAATATATAAGAAAAATCATTAAAAATCGTTTCCTCCAGACCCATTGTGTAAGGAAAGATGAAACTCATGTGGAATCATCCCCAGGTAGTGTAGATTCAAGTTTGTTCAAATCATGACCCCCGGGGCAAGGATGGGGCCAAAATGGCCGACCCAAGTTTTACATAGGAATATATACAGTACCGACCAGACCCAACCTGACACAAAGCAGTCCCAGAGCAGTCCCGGGGACTGCTTTCTGGGACTTGCTAAAGCAGTCCCACAGCGGTCCCAAGAGCAGTCCCACAGCGGTCCCAGAGCAGTCCCACAGCAGTCCCAGAGCGGTCCCAGCAGTCCCAGAGGTCCCAGAGAGCAGTCCGAGCAGTCCCAGAAAGCAGTCCCAGCAGTCCCAGTGGGCGGGGTTTATTAATTTAATGGGCGGAGCTAACTCAGAAATGAGATTTCTAATAAACAATGGAACTATAAAAGGCAGTAGAAATTGATTCTGGGTAGTATGCCAGGAATCCTTACATGTACGCGAAGGTCATTTATGAACAGAACATGTACGCGCATGAAAAATGAAATAATTATTAATCATATTTATTGGAGGAAGAAGGCTTTCACACTTACATGTACATATATGAATTACACTGATCATGAATATTTAATCACAATTCTTGGGTATATTAATAATTCTTTTGTGATTTGCAAAACTGTATTGATATTTATTTGATACAGAATATTAAACATGAATTAAATATTTTCCACCAGAAGAAGCTTTAGATCTAAACAGATCTTATCATTATATGGCCAATTTAGACTATCGGGATACTATAAAGTTAGAGTTTTCTTAAGC